AACCACCCCCAGCAGGTACCAGGGAAACTAACACGGGTTAGACACCACAGGACCCTACACTCTCCATCTGAGATGAGCCAGTGGGTTGCAGGGGCCTTCTCCACAAGAGCTTCCGGAGCCCTGGGTTCACCGTGTGACCGCGGACTGGCCCCATCCCTCTCTGGGCCTCCACCCGCTCCTGGAGCTGGGGCCGGCGGGGGGCGCGGAGTGAAGCCGGGGGGCTGGTAGAGGCCATCGCGCTCACCTTGGCAGAAGGCCCAGAGAGAGTGACGCTGCCTCTCGCCTGGGAGTCAAACAGTTGGAAAACCAGACTGGCAGAGTGAGTGGCTTCCTGGTGTCCACCAGCCATCTAGGGGGGCTCCTCGGGGGGCTGGAGGTGCCCACGCGCTCTCCAGGAGGGGAGCTCTGCAGACACCTGCCAAATCGTCCCCAAGCCAGGGGCTTACCGAGAATTTCCGGCGAAACAAAGCCACCTGGGTGGGGCGCGTCGTGGACAGGTGCGGGCTGCGGTCTACCAGCCCGGTCTACCTTGCCCGCCTCCAGAGGGCGGGTACCCCGAGCTCTTGTCACCCCCGCCCCTGGCCGAGTGTAGCATGGGGCGCCCATCAGTGACCATGTGTTGGCCGCACGTGAAAATGAAGAAAGAAGGGGCAGCAGTGGTGTGGACTGAGGTCCCACTCCTGCCACTCTCCATCACTGAGCCTTGTCTGGCCCTCCGGTGGCCGCTCTCTGGCCCACTGCCTCCCCCTCCCCAGGCTGAGCTGTGCCTGGGCCCTCAGCCCACAGCAGTGTCTTTTAGGAAAGCCCCCTCCTCCCCACCTGACCCCTCCTCTCCCAAACCTTCGCTGTCCCTTTGGACAGGCTGGACCCCCTCCTCTTGGTGCCCCCAACTCTGCCCACCTGCTCCCAGCTACTGTGTCCCCTAGGGGGTACACCATCTCTTCCTGTCTCTTTCTGCTGTCCCTGACGGCAGAAATCCATTCAACTTGTGTCTCCGTGGCAGCCTCTGGCATCAGGTGGGTGACAAAGGAAAATGATTGTGAATGAATGAGTTCGGTGGGAGGATTAAACGCACATGACTTGTATACTGGAAGAAACAAGTTTAGGATCCTCACGTTCCAATTCTTTTTTTTTTAATTTGTTGTTTAATGTTCATTTACTTTGAGAGAAATAGAGAGCGTGCACGTGGGGGAGGGGCAGAGACAGAGGGAGACACAGACTCCCAAGCAGGCTCCAGGCTCTGAGCCGTCAGCAAAGAGCCCAACACAGGGCTCGAACTCAAGAACCACGAAATCATGACCTGAGCCGAAGTCAAACGCTCCACTGACTGAGCCACCCAGGAGCCCCTCGAATTCTAACATACCTTACCAGTGGATCATTTCCCGTGGGAAAGCATCTTTGTTTGAAATCAGAATGAAGGCCCATTAAAAACAGGATTCCTTAATACAAACATTTGCTTCGCCCACATTTAGAGACTGTATTGAATACGCACGAGGGGAGAGAAGCTGCAAATTGCAACAAGCAGATGTGTTTGAGAAAGAATCTCGGCTCTGGCCAGATGCACCGGGAGGGGCCCACCCTTTTCCTGGCGGTCCCGTGACCGGGCCGTCACCGGGAGGACACCCTCAGCAGCCAGGGTGCAGCGATCAGGGATCAGATGGGTACCAGGGGACCCTCCTCTCCCTCCTCTGTCCACTCCCCTCACCTGTAAAAGTGATATAAACCGAGGCGTCTGATACCAAGTTCCCGGTATGCAAAATCAAGATAATAACAACACTACGAAGAATTGTGGACGTCAGATGATGAAGTCCTCTGTAGGGGCCCTGGAACGGGGCGGGAGGACACTGGACCAGCTCTCAGGGACTGGCAGCTAGTTTTATTCACACTCATTGATATACCTCCCAGGATCGTAATTAGACATCGGATGGATGACGCATCTGGATGTCCACTGTATTCTGTTAGCCTCACACACATACTGGCGTCTCTAATCTAGAAGATGCCGATCCCCGATGCTCCTTTAGAGCCCTTCCCACACCCCCCTGGGTGAGTAGCCCTGGCCCGCCTTCCCCGGGAGCTGAATCGGCCCGGCCTCCCACATCCGCCCCAGCCAGGCCACCGATTTAACCAGTGTGCCAACCAGCTACGGTCTCACGACGAAGGCCCGTGCTCAGCAGCGCCCACACCCCTCCCCTGAGGAGTCCCTCAGAGAACTCTACAGAGTGACAAACGTTCGGGAGAGAAGTGGAAATCCACTCCCAAGGCACTGACCGGGAGGCCAGGGATGGGAGAGTCGGGAAGCCCAGAAGCCCTCAAGCCGGCTCTGGCTCACAGTTGGTGCACCAAAAAAAGGCTGCTGCTTCCACCAACGTCTCTGTGTTGGGGGTCAGGAAGCGAGAGCTCGGACCGCTCAGGCGTCTGAGACCCGCCGGCCACAGGGCCGTGGACAGTCAAGCACCAAGCGACGTGTGGAACTGGCCGCCCTGAACCCACTAAGGGGCACCAGTGTTGAGGAAGCTCTGGAGTCTGTATTTCTGCCCTCTCTGGGGACAAATCACCATCCCGTGAGTCAGGAAACGGGGGGTCTCATGCTGGCTCAGCCTGTGACTCCCTGGGTGACCTTGGGCGGCCCCCAATCTCTGGGCCTCAACCTCTTTGTTTGAAAATGGCAGCCTTTGGGGAGCCTGGGTGGCTCAGTTCGAGCATCTGACTTAGGCTCAGGTCATGGTCCTGTGGTTTCATGAGTTCGAGCCCTAAGTCAGGCTCTGTACACTGCCAGGAGCCTACTTTGGATTCTCTCTCTCTCTCTCTCTCTCTCTCTCTCTCTCTCTCTCTCTGCCCCTCCCCTGCTTGCACTCTGTCTTTCTCAAAATAAATGAATAATTTTTTGAAATTTTTAAAGAAATCAGAACAGTGGTCACACCTGGGGGTGCTGCCTGGGCAGGGGCACACAGAAGCCTCGAGGTGCTGGGAAGGCTCTCTCTCTGGATCGGACACGTGATCGGGTCACCTGAGTGTGGACACGTGTAGAAACGCATCCAGCCGTAGGCTTGGAGATTGTATTTTGCCCTACAGCCCTACCAACCGCACTTTATTGGATTTAAGTTACGCTTTGAAAAAAAAGAGTTAAAAAACAAAACGAAACGAAACAGAATAGGGCAATTCTAAGCCATGTGGCCAACTGACATTTGTTCAGCACCAGACCTGACGTGGTCAATGGAAGGGAAGCCGAGCTCCGCATCGGGCTCTCTGCCCTCAGTGCAGAGCCTGCTTTGGATCCTCTCTCTGCCCCGCCCCCTCCTGCTCACACACACTCCCTCTCTCTCTTTCTCTCTCAAAAATAAATAAATTTTAAAAACTGAAGCACAGAGATAGGAGGCAGATGACCAGACCGGGCAAGGGCCTGGGTGCTCACCTGAGGACGAGGTGCCTGGCTCTGCTGGGAGAGCCAATCCCGCCCACCACACAGAACTCGGACCCCCAGTGCCTCACCCCAGCCCCCGCCATCCCCTCCCATCCACAGGCTCCCGTCCGTCTTCACCCGGGCTCCCCTGCCTCCTGGCCTTGCAGCCTGTCTGCCCAGCAACAGCCCAGGCTGGGGCTGCCAAGGGGCCATCCGCCATCCACACAGCCTGGAACACCCGCCCGCCTCCCCTGCACCACCTCCTGATCAGATCCGCCGGAGCCCTGAGCCCACAGGTGGGGGACCGTACCCATTCCTCCCCGGCCCCCCAAGCTTCCCACTCCCCGGCTCGGGAAAGCAGGGCCCCTCTCCACCCCTCAACTCACCTGGGATCAGGAGGCCCACCTCCCAACCCCCATGTTTCCCATGCTTTTGTGTCTATTCTGCGCTGGATCTTTCTCCCAAGATCCGCACGTTCCAGGCTCTTGTGTCAAATCCTGATCCCCGTGCCCGGGGATATTACAGACCTGGTCTCTCCTCGTCTTTGGGGCCACAGTACTCAAAAGAGGAGGCCACACTCCCAGGCTCAGCATCCTTCGCCCAGACTTGTCCCTCGGCCTGCTGGCCTCCTGTCCCCTCCGCACTACCAGCTACATCCCCACTGGCTGGCCCAGGGCCTCTTCTCTGCCCTCCTCATCCCCGGCTTTTGGTGACAGAACACATCCCAACCCCTGGCTCTTATACGCTGAGCTCCAGCCTCCTCCCTCTCTGAGCCTCATCTAGATGTTGAGGTCCCCAGGTCCCTTGAGGCTCTGTGCCCTCCCTGAGGGAGCTCGTCCGCTCCAGGCTTCCACACAGAAGGCCCCGGTCGTCCGTCTTCACCACGACGTCCCAGCACCACTCAGTCCCCAGGCTCAAAATGCAGGCTCAGCATCACACACCAAAACGTCTTTCTTCCTGAGGCTCTTCCCCAGACGGCACCTTCGACGCCCTGGCCTGCCACGTGGCTTCACGCCGTCCCCTAGCGCTATCGTGGCACCGCCTCCCTTCTCGCTCCTGTGCGCCGTCGGTCCAGGCCTCGCGGGTCCCTCCCAGGACACACAAAATCTGACTTCCTCCAGACCCCCAATGCCGGCGGAGGACAGGGATAGAAAAGACCAGATCACGCTCAACTCTGCGTACCCCCAGCATCCAGCATCAGTGTGACTCCAGTCAGGGCTGAGGAATGAATGTTCATCTGGAACGTCTTCTGGAACATTCTCTGGTGTCTGCAGAGACCTACAAGCTGGCAGAGCAGTTCTGTGGGGCTGGATGGCCCTGGGGTGGGGGTGGGGGGCAGTTCAGCCTTGGCCTGCAGCCAGGGGCGCCATCAGAGCAGTTTTTAAAGCAAGACACGATGTGAACACAGCTAAGTTCCAGAAGGTTTTCTCCAGCAGCCCCGATGTGCACTGGCCGAAGATTGCAGCGGCCAGAGAAGCAAGAGCTGCCCCCGGAGGTCGGTGGGTAGAATGCAATTCCTCGCCCGGCTTTGTTCTCAACTGCCATTGATCGAAGGCAAATGTCCCTCTGGTCAGACCTTCTCCCCCACCTTCCCCCTCACCTTTCCGCTGCTCTCATCCGGCTGCTTCCCCCAGGGCCTCCAGGCCCCGCCGTCTGGCCACAAGAAAGGCGCAAAATCACCAGACGGGCATCACAACTCTGACTTAACATCAAGTTCTTGGTTTGTTTCCGAAGAGCCATTTCCCCTGCAGCCCCGCTGATTAAAGGGCTTTCCTCCCAGGAACACCCGCCCCCCCCCCCCCCCCCCACAGCCCACCACCAGGAGGGTCCCGAGGGGCCACAGGGAGCGAGTGGGGGTGGGGGCTCCGCACCTCTCCTGCTCCCAGGAGCTTGGCCACCGCAGCGGGGCCCCGGCTAATGCACTTGGATTTGTTGGTGGCTTTCACCGTGGGATCAAAACAAAACCAAATCCACCGCCATGCTGCAGAGTGCTCTGAACCGGGCCACCCAACGGTCACACATGAAAAAGCTGCCAGCTAATGACTTGCAGTTTTGCTGCTAGGAAGGCTTCTTTTAATCAGTCCTGCGGCGGGATCGGTGGGATCGCTGAGCGTTTGGTTAGCATTCCTGGGGATAAGGTTTTCTCCCCTCCAGGAGAGACCTCACAGCAGGACATTTGGAAACATGACAGTGAGGCCTGCAAACCTGCTTTCTCTCTCTCTCTCTCTCTCTCTCTCTCTAAACCACTTTACTGAGACAGACAAACTAAAAGCCACATGTAATCAATGGATACAACTTGATGAATTCAGAGATAAATATACACTCCGCAAACCAGCACCACAATCTAACCGTAAACACACCCAGCACCTCCGTAACTTTCACCCTCTTAATTATTAGTATTGTTATTTTGTGATAAGAACCCTCAAAGGCGGGGGGCGCCTGAGTGGCTCGGTCGGTTCGGCGTCCAACTCTTGATCTCAGCTCAGGTCATGATCTCAAGGTTAGTGAGTTAGAGCCCTGTGTCGGGCTCTACGCTGACAGCACGGAGCTTGCTTGGCACTCTCTCTCTCTCTCTCTCTCATTCTCAAAATAAATAAATAAAAATTTATTAAAAGGGGCGCCTGCGTGGCTCAGTCGGTTCAGCATCCGACTTCGGCTCAGGTCATGATCTCACAGTTCGTGGGTTCGAGCCCCGCATCGGGCTCTGTGCTGACAGCTCGGAGCCTGGAGCCTGCTTCGGATTCTGTGTCTCCCTCTCTCTCTGCCCCTCCCCTGCTCACACACTCTCTCTCTCTCAAAAATAAATAAAACATTTAAAAAAGTTAAAAGTTTGGGGCGCCTGGATGGCTCAGTCGATTAAGCGTCTGACTTCGGCTCAGGTCATGATCTCACAGTTCATGGGTTCGAGCCCTGCGTCAGGCTCTGTGCTGACAGCTCAGAGCCTGGAGCCTGCTTCGGAGTCTGTGTCTCCCTCTCTCTCTGCCCCTCCCCTGCTCACACTCTGTCTCTCTAAAATAAATAAACAGA